GAAAGGTTCAAACAGCATGAATTTCCCTTCAGTGGTCTAAAACTTCTGCAGATTGCCATGAAGTTCTGATTCAAGACATCTCAGTCAGTGAGTGCTCATGTGAATATGCTTAAACCACCCTTGGGCTACTTGTTACTCACAAACTACCCATCTGTTTCTTTTCACACCAACACCATTAAAGAATTCTCAAAATTCTAGCGTGAAAAGACATTTTGTTGTTTATAGAGTCAACTTCACTGGACCCCAGTGATTTGGTCTTGTTAAAAAAAAAAAAAAAACTTCATATGTGTGGATGAGTTTTCAAACATTTATTTTGTCGTTTTACTAACGACTTGTGCAACGCACCAGGCTAAAGACCAAAGGTGACAGATCATTTGCTGCTGCGGCCCCCAGACTCTGGAACTCTCTCCCCCTGAGCCTGAGATCAGTGGACTCAGTGGTCTCCTTTAAAAAAACAGCTGAAGACTCACTTGTTCAAGCTGGCTTTTGTATGACCTTCATCCTCCCTACCTATTCCACCTTCCTCAGGATCCACTGATTTCCCTCTTTCCTAGTCACTCTCTCTTTCTTAACATTTTTAATCACAATTGTCTATTTTTTGCTCATTTTAAATATATTTTTAATCATTTTCTAAATTCTTTTTGATATTTTTACATGTTTTTGTTTTTGTGAAGCACCTCGTGATTTTTATCTTGAGAGGCGCTGTAGAAATGATATTTTCTTCTTCTTCTCTTCTTCTCCTTCTTCTCCTTCTTCTCCTTCTTCTTCTTCTTCTCCTTCTTCTTCTTCTTCTTCTTCTTCTTCTTCTTCTTCTCCTTCTTCTTCTTCTTCTTCTTCTTCTCCTTCTTCTTCTTCTTCTTCTTCTTCTTCTTCTTCTTCTTACTTTCAATGAAAATTTAGAGTGACAGAAGGACAAAAGGGTTTCGATTGAGCTCCTGTGTCTGTTTTGGCCTTTTAAACACCATCCTAGAAACTGCACCCTGATGGAGTCTGCCAATGTTATGAATGATTTAAAATGCTCTGAGGATAGAATATAGACATTTATGAGGTAGAGAGGTAAACACACTGTGGGCACAGTGGTTGCACGAGAGTAAAAACATTCACCGATAGAGGAATAGTTGGAGTCATGGACGTAATTTTCACTTTAATATGATAAATGATAAATGACCCGCACTTGTATAGCGCCTTTCAGGGTAAGGGCTCCAAAGTGCTTTACACTACAGTGTACCATTCATCCATTCACACACACATTCACACACTGGTGGGGATGGGCTACGATGTAGCAACAGCTGCCCTGGGGCGCACTGACAGAGGCGAGGCTGCCGAGCACAGGCGCCACCGGTCCCTCCGACCACCAACTTTAGAAGTGCAGGGGACACGGGGGGTGGGGGTGGGGGTTATCTTTACAGTATGTGCTAATGGGAAACAGGCTTCAACACAAACGGTTGTTTTCCGCTTGATCCTAGAGCTCAACCAGTGTCAATTTCATATAAAGTAAGATTGTTTTTGGATGGTAAAAAGTGCAGGGGTCAAAACTTGACTTTGGAAAAGTCCCCCCCCCCCCCCCCCCCAAAAAAAAAATTTACGTCCATGGTTGGAGTGTAAAAAACTTTCCCGGGTGCCTATACGAACAGTCGTCTGTTTTTCTTTCGCATTTAATTCAATCGTACAAAAAACTGACACTTTTTGTCTTTAGGCAGTCTGAGTGGAAGCAGGCTTGTGGAAGGGCAGGGGGTGTGTGTTGAGTCTTATTTTGGGCTCCCAGTGCCCTCTGGTGGTCCTCTGAGCAGGAGATACCCAACCAACTCCACGTTTCTGCCTCAGCTGTCTCACCATTAACCCCTTAAGCCCTAGGCCTATTTTGAAGCCTATTCCTCGAAAAATGGTCACCCAACAAAAATGAGAGTTTTTCAGCAACCAAATGGAGTATTTGAACTATTTTGATGTCATTGTAAAGATAACATTCAGTAGAATTGATAAATGTGTCATTTGGGATGTTATCTGTTACTGGTTAAGAGAAACTGAGGATGAAACATAGTAGAAATGTAGATTTTTTTTTTTGCTTTGCCTAAAAAAACATGCTTTTTATTGAAAAACTCTATGTATAAAGCTTGGAGGGCAGTGATTACTCAATAAAATATGAATACAACATGTGGACTTCATTTCTGCTAAGTTTGAAACTGATTATGTGAATCAGGACATAACCAAAGAGCTCTTACTACAGGCTAATCAGGAGAAAAGCTGTTTTGTGCCGGTTGGGCACACTGTCCCATTTCTATTTTGGTCTTGTAAAATGTATATTTTTCATTGGAATATCATAAATACTGTTAGGTAATCCATATCTGGACATATTCAGAAGGTTTCCAACAAGAAATAACACAGCTGTTATGTCTTTGAGTTGTGCGCCCCCAAGTGTCTATTTACGACAGCTGCCTCGTGTTGCATGAAGCATCGTTGCATTACCGCCGGAAATGTTGCAGCTGGGTCGATGAAAATCTGAATATACAAATTTGTTTAGAAATATTTATTTACGTGACATCTGAGTTGAGATTGTGGTTGGTAAAAATAGTTTAGATAGCCTTGTAGGGTTTGGTGTGTTCGACGTGCATTGTTACTATATTTTCTGCAACGTGAGTGTTGTTTAAGGCCTGTTAGAAAACGGACGTCACAAGGTCCCCCACCTGGGGGACCCTGCTGCTCCAGCTGCCATTGTTATTCCTGCCTGGCTGCATACGGAGCTGAGCATGCTGCATGTTTATCAGACCAGAAACATTGTGCATTCCTTCTTTGTCAGAACGCACAGCAACAATAATGTCATCTCCTTACGCTCTGATCACCTCCTAAAACAACCCGACCCATAACTTTTCACGTGTAGTCCTTAAACTGTTCTGTTTGTTGAAGCATTAACAGCTGGACCTTTTTATTAGGTTTAAAATTATTTGTGCAAAATACAAAGAGATCTGTTTTCATGCATACTGAAGCCCAGTAATCAAAGCGCCCTGAACACTTCTAAGGATTTGGATAAGTAACCATCATGGAGCGTACATAATTAGGACACTGTGTCATCTGAATTCAGATGGCCTACTAGCCCCGAGGATCTGTCGTTTTTCCCTAAAGAACAATTGAACACATCAGCATCACTTTAATTACAAGCGTGTATTTCCCTTTCCAGACCTAACATGAAGCTCTTTCAAAGTAAAAATGACACAGTGGACAACATTAAAGTATTTACTCATTTCAGTGGCAGTTGGGTATTTTTTAGAGAAATAACAGGGAGACTTAAATACATTTAAAAAAAATTGTTTTGCAGAAAACTTCTTGAGATTTAAGGAGAAAAAAACCCAGAGGTCTCATGTTTTCATTTCCAGCCAGCGTTCTCAAAGGCAACATGGAATTGTTCTTTTGAGAAGACGGCGGTATAAATCTTGGGGCAAAAATGGGCTCTAAAATAAAAGCAGTGGTTTTGCTTTTGTCAGCTCTGCCGTCTGGCTAGGACAGAGCCACGGCCATCTGAAGTGCATTAGGAGACGGTGCTTTTTGTCTTGTGTCAGTGTAACTCAGTCTGAGGGACTAAATCAGACTGCAATAGCCGGGCTCGTATTAGCGTAAAATGTTGCAGCTGGTTTATTTGTGGGATAAAACTGGGAGGATATAATCCCAGTGACATTGGGCTGGTTGCCTGTCCAATACCACATTTCATTTTAGGGGCTTAATTTTTAAGAATGGAAGCCCATTCCCTATAAATCATGAAATAGCCAGGTCACAAATGTGAGAGTAAAGCCGGGGTACACTGTTCGACTTTTCACTAGCCTCTTTTATAAGACACACCATGCCGGCAAATCAGCGTAATATTACCGAAATGGTTTGTCTATAAACTTTGAATTTTGCGGCATTCGTTCTGCCTTGCTTGGTAGTACTATTGCGGTGATGGTCTGTCGTATGCGCCCTGGCATAACAGAGGCAGATGTCATGATGATGTGTAGCCTGGCGCTCCATTGACGGCTCTCGGTTGTGGGGCGGGTTCTACCGTTGTCTTTCAAATGATCTCCGCATGCTACTGGACAATGAATGTGACATACTCACCGCAACAGCCATCGGTAAATGAGGCGGGCCGCAGTTGAAGAAGGAGAAAACACATATTTTTTTTCTAAATAAAGCACTTAAGTACGCATACAATATGAATTTAATATTTTCATATGAGAAGAACGTTAGGTGTGGGTGTAGCAGTGGGACAGTGGCTAGCGCTGTTGCCTTGCAGCAAGGAGGTCCTGGGTTCAAATCTCGACCTTGGGTCTTTCTGCAAGGAGTTTGCATGTTCTCCCTGTGCCTCATGTGTTCTCATGGGTTCTCTCCGGCTTCCACCCACAGTTCAAAAACATGACTGTCTGGTTGATTGGTCTCTCTAAATTATCCTGAAGTGTGTGTGTGTGTGTGTCTCTGTGTTGCCCTGGCAGCTTGTCCAGAGACAGCTGGAGATGGACACCAGCCCCCTGTGACCCTGTGTGGACAAGCGGGTTCAGAAAATGGATGGATATTTTTAAATTAGCCAAACTCAAAAATTTATTGTATGCGAATGTTTTAATGCTGATCTATATTTGTTCTGCTAAATATCAATATTTAGCATCCAACGTTGGTATGAAAACTATTCCACCTTCCTAATAATAATAATAATAATAATATAGGACCACTGATCAGTCATTACCACCAATGCTTTGTGCATTTTTATATCCTACATATAGTTGAAATTTAAATCACTGTTGACGATTGAGGTGGTTTGAGCTCAATTATTATGATCCATATATATAAAAACTAGTTAATGCAGAGAAAACGTGAAGAAAACTGAATACTTGTGTTCTACAAAGCACTTTAATATCTCATGTTTGACTTTAACAAATATCTGTAAACTTTGGTCAAATATTTGCGAGAATAATGTTGCACAAAATTTATCAAACCCCATCTACACACAGCAAATTAAATCCAGACAAAACACCCCCACTTCAGTCAGTTTAACTCTTTATTTCCCAAGTGTTTCACATCATTATTTATTAATTTTCACATATTTCCTATTTCCATCATCACTGATTCCTGCTGTTGGGCTTTTTTATTTAACATAAACATTTGAGCTTATTATCAGCAGATCACTTTCATGGCTAAAAACATTCCCAATCAACTTCTACTGATCCCAAGTACAGGAAAAAAAAACTTTCTTTTGCAAAAAAAGAGATATTTTAATAAAGTGCGAGTGGTCATTAATGTCTCGAGGAAGCGCTGAGAAGAGACCGGAGTAATGTCCACATCTGGTGTCACGCTTGTGGAAAAGCATGGGTCTGTTTTCTTAATCATTCATGTCATTTATAAAGAAAACCCATGTTACCCACCGTGAGGGATTATTACATTTTCTCTAAACTTAATATGAAATCAAACGACTCTATTATAGCAAATAGATATTTTATGTTTTGTCGTCGTCTTCATCAGTAAAATAACCTCAAAGTGTGCTGGTTTTGTTTTGCTAACAATGAATAGCTGAAGAGAAGAATAATTTCTATGTACATTATCTCCTAATTCTTTTGCATTTTTAGCAACCTCTTGATATTAAAAAACTCAATAAACCAAACATGCAAATAAAATCTTTGAAAGTTAATTTAAAAGGTCTTTCCTAGGATAAACATTCATTTGATTGGAATGGTTCATAGTAATTAATTCAGCTGCAAAAAATATCCGAGTTTGCTTTTCCTATGATACTGACTGGCGCCATCTAGGCTCCAAAAAGTGCTTTACAACACACCTAGGTCATCTGAGTACATAATTTTTTAACAGAAAGTGTTGTTAAAGTTCTTAGAAAAATATTATTAATAATTCAGAGCATATTTAATGCTGGAGAGAAAGAGAAGCACTTATTAAAGCCGCCACTAAGATATTGTCGAGGCAATTTGGGTGAAATCTTAGCATTTCAGAGCCAGAAAAGAAACAAAACAAATAAATTCAATTAGCAGCAACATAATTGTTATTATTATGAATGTGATGGATGGAATAACAGAAACTTTCAGTTAAATTTGTGAATTAGTCCAAAAACAAGAGTGAAATGCCGGTTTGCATAAGTGCCTTGTGCTGTTCCAGAGGCGTAAAGATGAGATCAAATCATCCAAAAGTGCTGATTTGTCCTAGCCTGGTGAACTAGACCAAATTCTTGCTTTGCAAAGTTTGGTCCAGGAACGCTCCACTGGAACCTCTGCAGCCCCTAACAGCATTCTGGCTGGCCAATCACAGCTCTCTAGAGGGGTTTCAAACACATAAAGAGCTGCGATTGGTCCATAATGGTGGGCCAATCATGGTGCTCTATCTGCTTAGTGAACAAATCACAGAGCTTTATCCGCTTTGTGGGCCAATCAGGGCACTCTATATGCCTGGTGGGTGGGATGATGCAACAGAGTGAAACAAGAGTATGTCACATTCATTGTCCAGTAGCATGCGGAGATCATTTGAAAGACAACGGTAGAACCCGCCCCTCAACCGAGAGCCGTCAATGGAGCGCTGCCAGACTAAATAATACATTTATTTAGTCTGGCTTGCAAGGCTAGATTTGTCCGTCTCCATCATCTCTTCTGGTGATTTTCACAAAAATGCCATTTTGGGGTCCAAGAGTGCTGGAAGACTTCAGGTCAAGAGGAACCTGAAAGATTACAAAAAAAAAAAAAAAAAAAAAAATGTAAAAGGGAACATTTTTCCAGCAAGTAACTTGTTGCCAGATGTAGAAGAAATGTAACCCAATAAAACAAGTCCCTGATTCTAAAGTTAAGATAATTCTGTATACAATTATAATTCAAATAATAAAAAGTTAATATCTTTAATTTCCACAAGTGCTTTAAAAATGCTGTAACAACTTGTTTTATTATCAGGAGAATGTTTGCTTTCCCACAAACGACTTTTTTTTTGCACATTTGCAGCAAATCTACAGTAAAAGATAAGAATAATCAGCTTTTCTTCAGTAAAATAGAAGTGGCAGCAAATCAAAACGTATTTTATTTGCTGACTTGAGCCACCTTGGTTTCAGAACAGGCCACGATGTTGAATCTGTGGAACAAATGGACCAAAGCCATTCGGATCTCCAGCTGGGCGAGCCTCATTCCCACACAGTTACGAGGTCCGGCCCCAAAAGGCAGGTAGACGAATGGATGTCGATCAGCTTTTGCCTCAGGGGTGAACCTGGAAGGTCAGACGGGTTTGATAAGTGAGATTTGTGCTGGAAATAACAGATTCATCACTTTAAATGAAACCTGACCTCTGATGTCAAACAGTTTCTAACAGCAGAAACGTCTGTTTTGATTGACAAGACTCTTGCATTTAATGTTTTTCAGCTCATTTGGAGATAATTCACACATACAGGAACTGTATATTTATGCTCAGATATTCAGTGTTCTTGTCTCACAAAACTAAATTTCATTCATTTTATCTTTTAACGGAACCTCTCCGGGACGAACTTCTCCGGTTCGGACCAGTGCTCCGGGTCGTAATGAAGGAAGCCAGCAGGGATCTCCACGGTCATCCCTTTAGGGAGGAACTGACCATTCACCACACAGTCGTGGTCAACTTCTCGTGCAAATCTTGACGGGACAAAATATCAAAAACAAAAATTGGTCGTTCAGTATTCACGAATTAAACTAAACGAGTGGTCTCAGTTCTGTTTCCTCACCTGAACCCGGGAGGGTAAAGCCTCAGCGCTTCAGATACAACCATGTCTAAATACTTCAGCTCCTGGACATTGATGTAATCTGGTGATTCCTATGAAAACAGGTGGATTGATTTAAACCAACAAATTGACACAAAACTACAAAGAAAGATGAGATTCAAGCAAAAACAAACTCACATGTCTTGTGAAGAATTCATCCACCTCCTCCTGGACTTTGCGCTGACATTCAGGATGGAGGGCCAGCAGGTAGCAGGTGAAGGCTAACGTGTTGCTGCTGGTTTCATAACCTGCCAAGAGGAAGACGAAGGCCTGACCCACAATCTCCTCCTCAGTTATCATCTTTTTCTGTGGCCGCTTCACGGGTGACTCCTCTGGGCGAGGATGGCTGTTTTCCAGCTCCGAGGCTGATGGTTGTGTCTGCTGACTCCTGTGATCGTTCTCATCCGTCTGTTTTTCTGTGTTAAAGTGCTCCAAGGAGGCAATATCCTGGCCTGTTCGAGCGTCTAACATCAGCTGAAGGAAATCTCGACGCCTCTGTAAAATATTCAAGTAGAATTTCCAGCATATAAATGGAAGATATTTATTAAGATAATTTAATGACACTTACCTGATGAGGAGGCTGCTCCTCTCTTTGCTTTATGATCCTCTGAATGATGTTGATAAAGAAACCGTTCATTTGGTCTCGCCTTTTATTTGGGAGGAATCTTGCAAGAGGGGAGAAGATGACAGGAAAAGCAACTGCACAGACGCAAACAAAGATGTTGTACTTCCTAAAAGGTCAGCTACAAATTTACACACACACACACACACACACAAATAAATGACATACTTAAAAATAACATGAGAGGTCTGAAGAAGGAGAAGGAAAAAAACAGCTGGGCGTGGCGGACAAACGGGTCGTCTGGGTTGTTCTGTGAATCCACCTGGGTGCCAAAAGCAACACTGGCAATAACGTCCATAGTGAAGCAGCCAAAACACCTGAAAAAACATCAAATCCCAATAAAAGATACTGAAAAGTTAATTTATTAATCACCTATGTCGACTCTGACGTTACCTATGGATGTCGAAGGCCTCTCCTGACTCGGCGTGGACATTCAGGTTGCTCATCAGTGCATCAGCAGCTGTGTTGATGAGGGGAGCCATCTGCGGGAGAAACACTAAATTTATCCCGGGCTATCGGAGGATACAACAATAAACTAATCCTTTTTAAATGAGCCACTGATCAAACTACGCATCTGAAGTACGTACACAAAAATGATCACAAAAAGCAACTGTAATGATTTAAATGACATGTTATTTAATAAGCCATAAGACGTAGGATTCCATAGCAAATATGAAATCCACCTCATGGATCTGTGAGGTTATTTTAAACCAGATGATTAGATAACAGCTTCGTATTCACTCAAGAGACAACAGAAGAGAGAGTCGAGTTTTAAAGTTAAGAATTTTATTACTAACAAATTAAACTAGACTAACTTTAAACACTAAATGTATGGTGTAACTAAGGTGGATGAGACGGTGAATGGGGTGAGGTGTAATGTTGCTCAGAACCAGCAAATCTGAAGAAGCGATTAGTTCTGATGGGAACTGAAGGTGATGTCTTCGCTCTAAGCTTTGGTTAGGAGAGTCATAAACACATTCGACGCCATTTTGTCGGCCTACATACCCTGAGCGGAAGTCCCCGCTAGATCAGGAATGTCGAGGTCCAGTTTGACCTTTTCTGGAACCGAAGTCGGTAGGAAAAGCAGCGGTTGCCGACCAGACCAGTCTGTGAGATACTCCCGGGTCACGACAATTTTGTTGGCGTCCCAAACCTGGGTCGTGATGGTTCAGCTTTTATTCTGAAAGGAACCGTTGCTTGGCTGGTAAAATGCAACAGGTTTATCCAGCTTGTCGTTGGTTGTTTCGGTTGAAGAGGAAAGTTACGGATTGGCCACTCCGACAACTTCTCTAGAACGCTTTGAACTGGCGTTAGAGATGACGTGAGCATAGTTTTATACTTCGGATGTTTTGGTTTATGGTCGAATGAAAAGTTGACAGATTTACCAAACACCACCAAAACCACGCCTCCGTCAGATCTGTCAGATTCTGATTGGATCAGTAAAACAATGTGTCATGTCTTAATGCTATGTGAGATCAGTCCTAGTGGAACATTTAACGTCATATTACTTTTATATTCTATAGGATTATAATAAAGTAATTAATATTTTGATTTCACAGATCGGTCACATCTTATTTATTGACTAACACTTTTCTTGATTAGCTTTATTAAAATAGAGTTCTTTGATTAATTAAAAGAAAAGAGTCAATTCTTCATTCTTCTGTTGAGCTGAAAAGAAGCAGGTTAGAAGCAAATGCATGAGACCTTGAGGCCATATCTCATGCAGACTAGTCCTGTGCAGAGGAGAGGGGGAAACAGTCATTTCATTCCGTTACACAACTTTAGAACCAGATCATGCAAAACAAAAGGATCGGTAAAGCCTTTACAGCTAAAAGGTAGTGCATATTTTAGGATCTAAATATAAAAAGTAATAGCTGTGATTCTTGAGTTCAGTAAAAATTATGAACTAAATGAAATGTAATCAACTGAACTAGGATCTTTGTCCTTCCTTAACCTGAGCGGAGTCTCACTTCTTTCATCTTTGCAGCACTAAAGGATGGAGTCAGGATGCTCCGAACTCTTTTCCACTGTTCATTCCTCAACATGAGCAGAGAATCTGTCGTGGGCTTGGTGGCAAAGCGAAATTTCTGCACAGAACACCAGGAGAAATTAAACTGAAGCTTGTTTTAGATGCATGAACAGCAGCAGTAATCGGCTGATGCGCTCACAATTCTGTTGGTGAAGTTGCTGAAGTCTTTAACCATCACTTGTCTGAGCATATCGGGATCTGCTATCACCACCACGGGTCTCCGGCCCAAATAATACCTGAGAAGTTCATCTGTGTCAGAAGTGACTCTTCTATTAGAAACCGGTGTAAAACGTGTTTTTCTCTTACCCACAAACTCTGCCGTGTGTGTTTATGATATCAGTGAGAGGTTTGAAAAAACCCTGAAAAGGACGGACAAAATGCATTTTAGAGACACAAATCTAAAAATGATCAGAACAGACAAAATAAGGTTACAGTAAAAAGATCATGACAGTATCAAATCTGCATCTGGCAATAAGAAAAAATAGATAACATAATGATAGCTATACATTTTCTTTGCTTACTTTGAGGGGATCTTACCTCACGAAACATGAAAATGTTGCCAAAAAACGGCACTGGCTTTGGATGTTTGATTCCATGACGAGAGAGGACCGAGAAGGGATAGACTGAATACCTGCAGACAAAAAAGCAAAAGAATATTGGAGGATTATACCTAAAAAGTGGAAGAGAACAAATATTAAAGTGTATTTCTCTTTTTTGTTTGGAGCTGCTGTCCGTCTTTGCCAGGACGCTTGTGTTTAGCTATTATAAATCACAGTTTTAACACAAAAGTCTTGGCATTAGCTTACCAGTAAATAAGGCAAAGAAAAACAAGGAGCAAGGTGAGTGTCACAGAAGTTCTGCTGAATTCCACGTTGAACAGGCTCAGAAAGCCACCTGCAGTTTCCTCCATGGTGGAAAACATGCCTCAGTTCTTTAGGATCAAAGTTAGGAGATCCCTGTGAACAACAAACAGTAATGCTTATTAATGTGTAAGCAAATATTTGTGTTTAACAAGCTAATTTATTGAGGTGCTGAAAAAAATCGACTCAAGTCTGAATCTGGATTCTTATTTATAAAGATTCAGAATCAATTCCAGGAACTCAAATGCTTGGCATGTTACAGGTTTGAGATGCACTTTTGTATGTTTATTTGGTCTTTGTTAGGAGAGCTAGTACTCCGTTTACTTTTGCGGTCCCATAAATTGGGATGATTTATTTTTGAATCTGCTGATAAGTGGGAACTAGAATGTATTTTTTTTCCATACTCAGAAATTTGAGGTATTCTCATATTTATTTTCTAAGTTGATAAGTGAGTACTCAGGATTACTCGTGTTTATTTGAAGTTATTGATAAATGAGAGAAAACATTTTCCTTTGTAAGAAATCTGAGGCACTTTTTTTAAACAGGTTGAGAACTCAAATGTTAAACTTGTTTCTACACATACTTAAAAAGTATTTGACTGTATTACTTTCAAAGCTACTGTTAGGTAACTAAAGATCTGTTATATTTTACAAGGTAAGCAAAAATAAATGTTGCCTTTTGGTCAAAAGATTGTTTCTGTTTACAGTTTTAGAATCACTTTAGTTTACCTTGTAAATTAGCTGTTTTTTTTACATGACCAGTTTAAAGTAAAATAATAAAAAAATTCCCATAGCTTTAACTAACTTGCACAACAAAGTAGTTAATCTTGGAACTGACACTCTTTGTTAATATTGATTGTGAATCGATTTAAATCGAGAATCGATTCTGAATCGAATCGGTACCCCGAGAATCGGAATCGAATCAAATCGTGAGTTGCTCTGAGATTCACATCCCTACTAATTTAGCCTATAAAAATAGAATAAGCACGTAAAAGTTTACATTTGTAACAAAAACACATTTCAGTAATGTCCCATCTTGACCTGTTTGTGTCATTTTAACCAGAAAAATACGTTTAGTTGTTTCTCTGAGCAGTTTTTTTTAACCCTTTTGTGTTTGTTCCTAACGGCCACAGGGTGATTTTACTGGAACTCTCCAGTCATTGTTCACTTAGCCCAGATACCACATATTATGGGAAGAAAACGCGCTTTATTCAATATAAAACAAGGAGGATTTAAATTTTATGAAAGATTTATCTATCATAGTTTGTGTAAAAACTACACATTGTAGCTAGCAGCTGCTACCATTTACTTATACATACCTGGAATGCAGCCTCTCCGCCCCTGATACGGGTGTTTTTCTATATCAACTATGCTCCATTCCTATTTCAAAGGTCAAGTTTAACGAACCAAATGAAGCAAGTCTATCGCGTCATACCCCTGTCAAAACCCGTGCACGCGCATTGGGTCCACAGCGCGCGTGTGAACGGGACTCGCGAGCGAAAATATACATGGCAGCGCGCGTGTGAACGGGACTCGCGAGCGGAAATATACATGGCGAGAGGTCATTTGTGCACTGAGAGGGAGCAAACTGTGTCTGTGAGCGCACAAGGATGTGCACAAGTGACAAACCTGCGTGCGCGCGTTGTCAACGAGCACACGGCAGAGGAAAACGTGCGCGCGCGGCAGCCTCTGTGCGCGCTCGGCAGCCTCTCTGCGCGCTCGGTTTCTGACTCCTGCTCGCTCGGCTGTAAGGGTTTTGGCACTCTGGAGGCGTGGCCTGTGGCAGATCTCCTCTTTCCTCTGATTGGTTAGTGTACCCCGCACTTTACCCTCTACCTATCTATATAAAAAAGTCTACTAGTCACGTAGTTGCTGGCATAGCTCAGTTGGAAGAGCGGGTGACTTCCGCCCCGGAGGATCCGGGTTCGAGGCCGGGCAAGGAAAATGCAGTAGATGTCATGTTAATTTTTCTTAATTTCAGGTATTTTACAGTTGTGACCGTTCAACTGTCATTAAACGTCCGAATGTTTGCTGGGCAGTGTTTTAAAAAGTGCACATAAGCTAGATGGTTTTAACCATATAAAATTACATTTTTTGTGATACTGGAAAAATACATACTGAAATAAAACTACTGATTGAAAACTTTATGACTGTGGTTGTACAATATATGACTCACTAATACACTGCAAACTCCCTTAGAGTGGGGCTTCCAGAGAGAGAGAGAGAGAGAGAGAGAGAGAGAGAGAGAGAGAAAAGTTCTTGCCTCATTAATGAATTGTTTATTTTTTTCAGTATTTAATTGACAAATTATCCTTTCAAATAATTAATTGATGAGTTACATAATTGTCCATTTAGAATTGTTGAATGGACTGAGTCAAGTTTGGTGCACTTTATATATTTCAAAACATGTTTTTTTTTTTATTTTAATGATGCATATAAATAATTTAAATGTTAATTTAATGAAATATTTCTATTTTTTCATTACCTCACCCTTGTTTTGACAAAAACGGGACCTTGCTGGATAATATCATGGAGAAACTATTTGTTCACAGTACATGGCTCAGTGAGGATCTGTGTAAAGGAGGAGATACTCAGAAATCTGTCTGCAGATTGTTACAACCCAGACTGGAAGTGGTGGGCTGTAATAAGAAAGGAGACCAAACAGAGGAGTGGGGGTTCAACAACTGATTTATTTAACAAAAGTAAGGATTTACTAAAGCAAGTTAGTGAACAGAAAATGGCCAGTGAGGACTCTCCACCACACAGGAGAGACCCAGTGAAAGCAGAAAAACAGTAGGCTTTGTAGGCAGCACCACACCCTGAGCCCAGGTGCCTCCAAGGCTGCTTAACCAGCTGCCTACAACAGAAGAAAAACACAATTAAACACAAATGAAAACCCAATGAGACGGTGGGGGCATCACAACACGTTCAGGACTACCCAAACACCAGTAATTCTTGACTGCACTGATCTGAGGTGTCAATGGCCATATTCCCCTCTCTTCCAGAGTCATATATTTTCCTCAAGTTCAACTGCACTCTGAAGAGGCTCATTTGGATTGTGCCACATAGGCCAGTGACCTTTGTCTCAGCACTGTATGCTGGAACTATCAGCGACCAACCTGGGAATCTGGTGTGTTGAAAATGCTACAACTAGAGATGGTCATCTTGGTAGACAGGGGTTTCTTCATTGATGACATTGTGCCCTGCAAAGTGTACAGGCCAGCTTTCCTTTCTGGCAAACCTCAAATGTCTGCATGTAAAGTTATAGAAACAGAAGCCATAACATCTCTGAGTGCATGTGGAGCGCTCCATTCATCTGGTCCAAGAACACAAGCATTTTGATTGTTATTCCCCTCCTTGCATTTGTAAACAATCAGCTATATGCTGTGGTTTTTCTCCTTACCAACTTTTAAAATAGCCCACTAGTGAAGGCCTGGGCAAAGAAGCCTGATGTCTGAGAACCTCAACATATGTACGGCAACCACACTGTATATTTACACACTTTCATAAAGAAACTGCATATCAAGCTTTCATTCAGATGACCTTCAACAGTGCTGCACCCTGCTGAGGGACATCCGAGTAAAACCTTGAGATGGCCATTTTCTGTTCACTAACTTGCTTTAGTAAATCCTTACTTTTGTTAAATAAATCAGTTGTTGAACCCCCACTCCTCTGTTTGGTCTCCTTTCTTATTACAGCCCACCACTTCCAGTCTGGGTTGTAACAATCTGCAGACAGATTTCTGAGTATCTCCTCCTTTACACAGATCCTCACTGAGCCATGTACTGTGAACAAATAGTTTCTCCATGATATTATCCAGCAAGGTCCCGTTTTTGTCAAAACAAGGGTGAGGTAATGAAAAAATAGAAATATTTCATTAAATTAACATTTAAATTATTTATATGCATCATTAAAATTAAAAAAAAAAACATGTTTTGAAATATATAAAGTGCACCAAACTTGACTCAGTCCATTCAACAATTCTAAATGGACAATTATGTAACTCATCAATTAATTATTTGAAAGGATAATTTGTCAATTAAATACTGAAAAAAATAAACAATTCATTAATGAGGCAAGAACTTTTCTCTCTCTCTCTCTCTCTCTCTCTCTCTCTCTCTCTCTCTCTCTCTCTCTCTCTCTGGAAGCCCCACTCTAAGGGAGTTTGCAGTGTATTAGTGAGTCATATATTGTACAACCACAGTCATAAAGTTTTCAATCAGTAGTTTTATTTCAGTATGTATTTTTCCAGTATCACAAAAAATGTAATTTTATATGGTTAAAACCATCTAGCTTATGTGCACTTTTTAAAACACTGCCCAGCAAACATTCGGACGTTTAATGACAGTTGAACGGTCACAACTGTAAAATACCTGAAATTAAGAAAAATTAACATGACATCTACTGCATTTTCCTTGCCCGGCCTCGAACCCGGATCCTCCGGGGCGAGAGTCACCCGCTCTTCCAACTGAGCTATGCCAGCAACTACGTGACTAGTAGACTTTTTTATATAGATAGGTAGAGGGTAAAGTGCGGGGTACACTAACCAATCAGAGGAAAGAGGAGATCTGCCACAGGCCACGCCTCCAGAGTGCCAAAACCCTTACAGCCGAGCGAGCAGGAGTCAGAAACCGAGCGCGCAGAGAGGCTGCCGAGCGCGCACAGAGGCTGCCGCGCGCGCACGTTTTCCTCTGCCGTGTGCTCGTTGACAACGCGCGCACGCAGGTTTGTCACTTGTGCACATCCTTGTGCGCTCACAGACACAGTTTGCTCCCTCTCAGTGCACAAATGACCTCTCGCCATGTATATTTCCGCTCGCGAGTCCCGTTCACACGCGCGCTGTGGACCCAATGCGCGTGCACGGGTTGTGGCACGCTTTAAACGCCATACAAGTCCATAATAAAAAAAGTGCAACCCCTAACGAAACTGCGTCCAAAGTAAATGAAACTGGTTTCTTCTTCTTCTGCTCCTTTGGTCATAATCTATTTGTGTTCAATGATGCCACCATGTGGCCAGAAGCGTAATGACATGGCATACGTGATTTAAACTTCTCTTAACTAGTAGGCAGTTAATCTATGTATTATGAATTATTTATAAAAAAAATTCTACATATATTTTTTCTATTGTACATGCCTGTGTGCTTTACAGTTCAGATAGATGGCCTCTCACATAAAAACAAAATGCCACTGTTATTACATTTTTCAAAACATTTATCCTTTTACAGCACGTGGGTTTTTGGCACACTTCATTATATGAAATACTTTTTATAGTTCAGAAAGTTTTTTATACACAGACAAAACAATCTGTTATTTTTAAGGTGCTTTACTTAATAATAATAATAATAATAATAATAATAATAATAATAATAATAATAATAATAATAATACATTTTATTTAACAGCACCTTTCAGGACACCCAAGGACACTTTACAACAATGGTGAAAAATAATAAAACAAGATAAACAGTACAGAAATGTGTAAAAACACTAGGATGCTACTAATTAAAACAATGAATTAAAACTATGTGGTAAACGCCTGTGTGAAGAGGTGGGTTTTGAGTTTTGATTTAAAAAGTGCGAGAGAGTGAGTGGTGCAAAGTACAATAGATCTTACTTGATCTATTGTGGGTTTTACTCAATGCCTGAGGCTGTTCCACACTCCTAAACTGTAGGTGAAACTCTAAACTCTTACCATAAAAAACAGGAGTCTAAACTAAAACATGCATCAGGCTAAACTAAAACAAAAAACGTTTTATTTTTAAAAACACTTCATTTAGATTTTACCATTTTATCAAAATCTCAACAATGACTTGGTAATGTGATTAGGACTGGGGCAGCAGTCGCTCAGGTGGTAGAGCGGGTTGCCTCATGAGGGTCATGGGTTCGATTCCAGCTCCCACCAGAGGTATTCCGCTGTTGTGTCCTTGGGCAAGACACTTCCCCCAACTTGCCTGCATTGGTGGTGGTCAGAGGGGCCTACGGCGCCAAATGGCAGCCTCGCCTCTGTCAGACCGTTCCAGGACGGCCGTGGCTACAAAGTAGCTCACCATCACTAGCGGTGTGTGAATGTGAGAGTTCACGCAAGCGTCTTTGAGTGTCCTAATAAAGCGAAATATAAGTTTGATTATTATTATTATTAGGAAAACACACATTTTTCTCATTTTGTTTAATTGGTCTTTGGCATCCTCTAGTGATTGCAAGCTAGAACTACACTTTTACAGTGGGTACGGTAAGTATTCAGACCCTCATTAATGTTTCCTAATTCCTACTTTATTTTGCAGACATTTCCTAAAGTCATTTATGTTTATTCTTTCCCTCATTAACATACACACAGCACCCCATATTGACAGAAAAACAAAGATTTTGAGACATTTCTGCAGATTTAAAAAGAAAAATGAAATATCACATGGTTGTAAGTATTCAGACC